AATAATGTAGATGCATGTTATATGTATTTTATATATATATATATATATATATATATATACAGTATACAATACATAACTAAACTATTTTTAGTGTCATTAATATACTGTCTACAAGGTGATATAATAATTATTAATTACATAAAATTTCGAGGGTAAACAACTTAAAATTAAAATAATTAACCTATATTTAACATTTATTTTAGTATTTCTAAGTTATGTAATCTATATCATTTATTCAAACATTATTATCAGATTATTTCAAACAATTAAGCGGCACTTAGCTGCCAAAATGTTTTCTAAAGCTTTACAAAAAACAAAAATTTAACAAAACTGTTTTGTTTTGAAATCAATAGTTTTGCAACATAAAATTTGAGAAGTGAAATATTTTCACGTGAATAAATGCAATGACCAGGAGGACATTAATATATAAAAATTATAAGAAACAATAAACGTCTTCACATTGCATCCTTATCACACATCTCAGGGACACAGCTACTTTTTGTGATGGTGCCATCAGCCCGGAATTTTTTAACATGTTTTGCATATTGAGGTGAGATGAATAGTCTCTGATAAAAGGTCGATTTCATCGAAGACAGTTGCATTTTTTAATTGTATAAAAAGAACGTAATCTGAAGATGTTTATTGTTTTAATTTTTATATATGAAATATTTTTATTTGTAAGAATTACTATTCAAAATTGAATTCTTGTACAAAATTTATGATAGGTAATGTCTAGTCCTTTTTATTTTAAGCAAAATGATTAATTCTATTTTTTCTCATTTCATTTTTTAATCTTTCCTACCTGTGAGTACTAAGATGGCCTTTTAAATCATACTCATCGTGGGTTTGGCCAGGCCCAGAATAAGGGCGATTGGGTGGTGAGGAGCGAAGTCCGATATACTGTATCTGATCGAGACAACCCATGAAAAATTCCTAAGAACATTATAGGGGTGTCGTGAAATATAATGTTATCATAACACCTCATACGTATATTGTTAAAGTACGAAAAGCTCAATAACCCTACAATTATAAAGGAGTAGGAGTGCCGCAAGAAAAATATTACCAAGTTAGAAGTGCCACTGTTATACCCCGTTCGCACCGAGCATTTCGATCTAGATTGTGACTAAGGTCGGAGAGAGTTCCGTGGTGCGAACGCTCTCGACCGTTTCAATCTCGACTGAAACGAGGCTATATCGCGATCGACTGGAGAGAGTTCTTGAAACTAGATCCAGTCATAAGAGAGATCCCACAATCCCATGCGCGCGAGGAAATACAAGATGGCTGCTGAACACATGTCCGGCTATCGACAGAAAAATAAAAAAGACATCTGGAGAGACGATGACATCTGTCTATTATTAGATATACGGCAAGAAAAAGTATTTATTTCTAACCAAAACTTCCATTTTGTTTGTTGGTGTTTGTGACTTACCGCGTAGTTATGTCAATTTTATCATCGCGTGTAATAGCCGGGTTCTTCTCAAGCGAGTTACCTGTGCGAACAGCACGACGTTCCACTGGCGACAGTCACAATCCAGATTGTGAGTAAATCGAGATTGAAGTGAGTCGTGGATTGTGTGCGAACGGGGTATTAGATTGAAAACATCGCCTTAACTACTTCGGCCATACAACCATCGATTAATATTCCTATAAACTTTTTTCATATTTCGTAGAAATCTTTACGATTGTTTACACAAACTTTTTCAGATTTTTGCATCTTCAGTTAACGATATATACCGTATTTGTATTAATTTAAAATTTTTGAGAAATTGTAATAAAATATATAAATATAATTTATATTCTCTTACTATCGCCCCAAGCCCTCGACCTTTAATCACCAAAATTTAATATCATCAATCCTCCTAATACACAAATCTCCCCGAAAAATTTCACAAATTTTCGACAAAATCACAGCAGTTATTAAGCTTTATAATGAGTGAAAAAAATCGTGCTTTCCCATACACACTAACATACATAAAAAATTCCAAACTTTTTCCATAGCATTTCTCGATGTTTCAAGATCCAGAGTCCAAAACATGCAAACATTTTGGTGGGCCATCTTTTGACCAACCACATACGTTCCCTCTGTTATATATAACAAACAAGCAGAGAAAGTAATAATTATATTTTTAAGTGATAATGAAAAACAGATTTAAAATGCACTTATGTACAGTACTGTACATATTGGTTTAATTAAAAAATCTTAGTCAACTTTCAAATTAAATAACTGTGGTCTGATAAGTCTTTTGGGGTAATAGCAAATTAGTAGCTATTAAGAATATTAATTATAAAACAAGGCAAAAAACAAATAATAATAGGATAATATAAAAATTCATTTTGTTAGGTAATTCGGATCAGTGGAGCATTATATTGATAGCTTCATGGGCGCCCAAGCAAATTTGAAGTAGAGGGCTTCACGCGCAGTGTTGACTTCATTTTTCTTCGAGGAAATTTTTTGGGAGAAAATGTTTTCTTATAAAAGGTTAGTTTGGAGTTCCCTGTTGTGAAACCCAGGCAATTGTTCTTAGGATAACGCGCAACAAGATACTGCAGTATTTTCTTTTGTATGTTAACTCTCTCCTCCATGAGAGCAGATATATTTTTCGTGCCCATCATCCCTGGGTCAGATTCACTACGGAAACGATTGGATGCTGAAGATTGAAGCCCCGACATATCCGAATCCTTGAAAATTTCTTAAAAGTATATTTCATGTCTAGTTTTGTTCTCTTTTTTTTTCATTTTGTTAAAACATCAAAAATAAAATATGAAGTAAACATTAACTGGTAACAAATTTGTACGTATATTTACCTCGGGACATGTAAACTACACGAATTGGACCATTAAGAGGATCTTTATTCAAGCTCGTTCAGTTCGGCAAGCGCAAAATGCAGATAACAGGGTGGTGAGGGCGGACCAATCTCGAAAACTTCCTGGAAATTTTTCGGGCCTGAAGATAACGTAACGGGTGGTGGAAACATGACTACCTGAAAGGACAAGCCCGTAAACACGGACAATTACAGGACACGCAATTGCATGAGACAAGTTGATGGTACCCAATGAGCTGCAACTCGGATCGAAAAACTCCGGGAATGTTTCGTCCAGATATGTCGGGACTCGTCTCATTATGGGTCTGGCCGAATTCATAATGGACTTGCTGAAAAACCCTCTTAATGCCGAAGAGTGGAGTTAAAAAGTAATCACAATACATATTTTATTTGACGACTGGATGGACGAGTGGTTGTCAGCCTACCGCTCTGAGGGACACGGAAACGAATCGAAAAACATCAGGATTTTTCGGGGTGGTTCATCCTCACCACCCGACCGACTAGTGGGCCTGAGAAAAGGCTCAATCATTAAAGGATTATTAAAAGCATCATAGACATATCGAAATGATTCGATGTTTATGAGCCTCAAAGTCCTAAACTTGCTACTAAAATGTTCTGGCTATTATTGAAGGTTTCTAATAACAATTACTCTAATACAGGGGCGTCGAGATGTCGCGGGTCCGGGGAAAAATTTACATGCGCTCCAAGTAAATTTGAAAATTTTGAGTTTATGGATATATCACTTTCTACAAAATAAATAAGTTATTAAGTATTTTACAGTATATTACAATAACATGTAAAATTATTTTGGACTTATGTCCGGATCCCGTGATGGGAGAATTTAACCCAATCTCCTCTAGTTGGCCCCGAATAGAGCATCGATTATCCGAGAGATGGACAGCTGGTACCTCGGATAATACGGATGGCCACAATCGTTTCGGATTAAAAATTATACGAAATAAATCTTTTGTTTACCTTTTATGTATACCACGAGTAATTACTGAATTCGAAAATAAATCGAATTTTGAAAATGGTGTATCTTATTCTCAGCTTAAGGCATTATCTGATCTTCGCCGTAAATTATTAAGCAGCTGAAACCTTTAAGAATGCTCAAAGACTGATTCTTCTTCATAGACTCAAAAAAACCTTCGTGGAATGTTGTTGTTATAATCGATTTTTTCATTAGCTTTTGGAGCTTTCTTCTATAAAAATTGATCAGCCAAGTCAGTCTTCGCGACATTTCAATTTAACTGATAAAATGTTCAAATTTGCTTAAATTTATGTACTGTACTAATTAACGCAGGACATTCGGTAGCGCTAAATCAATTTAAAATTGTGCGCGTTTTCTGTTAATACTTTGACGTTTGTCTAGAAAAAAGTTAATCTGCATTAAGAGTACGGAACTAGAAATACTTTCTGAAATATGTATAGTATTTCGTTCTACGTTCGGAATTATTAAACTATCCTTATCCATATTTGTTGTGAAAAATTGAAACTTTTCTTGGCTTCGTTCCAACATATACTGTAATTTAAATACTTTTCACATTATAATATTGTTTTTGTCTGGATTAATGCTTCTTGATATAGCCTAGGGGCGGCTAATTGTACACACTTATCACACTTTATAAGTGATGAAAGTGAATCAGATTAAGTTGAAAAAAAGTTATACATTTATTATATAAGTCTGTACAATTAGTCAGCCCTAGGCTACATCGAGAATTGTCAAATTTTCTTAATGCTCAAGATCAACAGCAACTATGTAAAACATTTCGTTCATTTTTTTTTCCAAAACTTTAAAGTACAAAGTATGCATTTTTATGTAAATTATTCTAGACAAAAAGTAATTACCAGTTATATTTTCAATATCCTATATTTAAATCACAAGATCTCTCAACTGGATTTTATAATTTACTNTGAAAAAATTGTTTCGTTTCATTTTATATTAAAATTTGTTTTATCATTTATAAAATAATTTAAGTCTTTTATCAATAGAAATTCTCATATGAATAAAATTTTGAAATCAAGCAATATATTCAAATTTATCGAAGAAATTTAAGCTCCCGTTTCCACTTCACTTCTTGTTAATTTGCTAAAAACGAAAATAAAAACAAGTCTTTTTTAGTATGAATACATCAATTTTTTAGTTATCGTTTAACAAAATTATATTTATAATACGACATAATATAATATAAATCGTATACTTGGGCAAAGTTTCGTTTTTTGAATGATCACACAGAGCTTTCATTTCTAAGAGACTCAGTCTCAAACTTTTGGCGAAATTTTCTGAATTTGTCGATTTATTTTTATAAGATGATATGCAGAAAGTGAGACAGTTTTTCTCGTGATTGTAAGTACAACAGTAACCGTCTGCAACAACAGGTCCATAACCGCATATAATATCGTAATTATTATGAAACTGTAAAGAAAATTCTTCAAAGTTATCAACTAAAAATATAGAATGAGAAATTAGAAGAAAGTATTTGATACTCGATAGACACGTAATCGGTAATTCATAAAATTCTTATAAAAATCTTCTTCGAACAGAATCGGTACGGGTAATCCTTTAAGTGCTGCAATTCGTTTGAGGCACATCAGATGATTATCGGGTCCTTCTCCATTCAGGGTCTATGTAAAAATTAGTGTTTGAATTTTTCATGCTGTTTATAATTGTAAATGACGGAAATGACTGCTTGAAACTCACATAAGTGAAAATTTCCGTTTGTTTATCTACTGCTTTACGAAACTTCTGAAATTTTGTACCCTATATTGGTATAGACATAATAAAAGTTATTTAGACACGTAATAATTATATTCAGGTTATTGTTTGAGATCATACCCAATTTACAGAAGAATCAAATAAATGTTTAGCAAACTCTAGAACTTCTTCACTGCACGATCGAATGTTACTAACACGTCCATATCTGAATTTTCTCAAACCTCCACTAGCAAAAGATGATGCCAATTTTTGATACATTCTAAAACAAATGAGTTTTAATATTCCTTAAGCGTTAAACATATCTGTAGAATTTAATAGATTGAACCTGTAATATGCCAACTGCATGCTCAATTGAATGAAAATATCGGTATTAATATTCTGCTTCTTAATGAATTCTTTACCGAATTCGGCAAATTTCATAATGTATAAATCTGTGCCCTCAAACATTCTGAAAATTATAGAAAATAAGTAAACATGTTTGATTCTCTTGGTATTAAAAGAATAAAATTTCTTACAAATCAACCATGGCTGATGTTTTCTTTATACTTTCTTTTATTGATTCACAAGAATCAAGTTCCCATTCAATTCTTTCAAATTTTAACTGATCATCAGACTTTCTTTGTGGAAATTCGTGCGATCTATATTTGTTTAAAAGAGTTCTTTGTTGTTATTTTATTTAAAAAATGTAAAATTTTTAAAATAAAATACAAATGCAATCTACAGAAAATGTAAAAATTCTCCACAAAATCGTAAAACAGCGATTCCTTCCGATACAGAATTCTCCATGCAAATACCGTTGATACCATTCTTGGTCACAATAAACTACAAAAAAAAAAGAATGTAATTATCAACAAATATATAATGGATATAAAAAAAGATGTAGCAGGAAGAGATAGTAACAAATTCTTGCCAACATATTGAGTTACTAGTAACAAAATTCTGTGTATAATTGCAAAGCAGTTCGATAACGACGTTTTATTTTTCAATTAACAACTTTGAGAATTCGTCTTAAGGAAAGGACATTTTATTTGGAATGTTCATAAGAAATTATTCGCAGACCTTATGGAATAAGGCGAACGGTGTGGTACTACTCATTCAAAATTCTAATCTACTCTCCATTCGAATCTGGATTAGAGCATAAGTACTGTATATCAAACATTGCGAAGCCCGATATGTATATAGAAATGTAACCAAACGATAGCCTTAAACAATCGGGCTATAATTCCGCTAATTTAATGATTAATACTAAGTAATTTGCCGTGATTAACTACATGTGTTTAAATTTAGATATAACCTTATCTAGAAGCGAAGGCTTGCTTGGGTCCAGAATGACGCAACTGGCAAGCGGAGGTTGCTGGTTTAAGCCCCGCTCCGGATTAATTGTTTTCTTCCACATGATTCTAAATTATTTATTAAATTATTAAAATTATAATTATTAATTTAGTTAATAGATAGCACCTAACGTCTACCTCTAGTAGCAAATTACGTAGTATTAATCATTAAATTAGCGGAGTTATAACCTGACTATTTAATTATGTTTCTGGATTGTTTCTGGATTAGAACTTCAAAGTTTTTCTTGTATGATTTAGTCTAGATATGCCAAGTCACTCCTTTCACTAAGTCAATTGCATTGTGAGCCCGGCTGGACTCGTAGTATCATGAGAACACCTTACAAGTAGACGAAAAGAGTAGTGATCTGCGGAGAGGATTCGATTGGATTGATAAAAGGAGGCAACGCAATATTTGGGTATTATGCTAAGGAGAATGCTTCCGAAGTTTTCTATAAAAAAACTAGTCCCCTAATTAGGTATTAGACATTTGAAGAAAACCCGAAAATTTGCACATGGCCATCCCGCTGGTAAAGCGCAAACCCGCAATCAACTACTAGTATTCGGTGGTTTTATTCACTAGGCCCGTGGTAGATCCCTTTGTGGAGAAAAGACGAAAGAAGAGGTACTAAATAAACTTGATAATATCGTTCAGTATGATAACGAAGAAATTTTACTTATGATAATGAAGAAATCTAATTTATAGGATCGACATAAATATCACATTGTAGAATTATAGACTTGCGCTTTGTCTATTGATATGTATTTGGCCTAAAGCTAATGGCTAATGGATTTCAGAATTTTTATAACTACTGTAATGAAAATTTCTTCAAAATATATTAATAAATGTTAAATTATATGATATATTCATTGAAGAAATTTATATTTTGTAGATAGTATCTGTAAAATTTTGTAAAATTTACCTGGATAAAATGATCAAACCATCTATTCGCACTGGAATGTCCTATTCTATTTCCATGAAGAATGTGATGAGCCATTTTTTCCAGACGAACATCCGAAAATGTTTTAGATTCCATTTCGTTCTTGGCCATCTTTACCGAATCGTCCATGCAAATAACGAATAAACAAGTTTCGATAATACCGAGTGATTTCTTATTGGTTTCATCTGATAATATGATATTATATTAACTCTACAAATATAATCATAGAAAAATTTTCACTTACTTTTCATTAAAATTTCTCTAGTTTTTGCCCACGCTCTTCGATTATCTGCAGTCAAAATCCCAATCCATTTGTAGTTGAATCTAAGCATGCTCTCTTTTTCTATGTCTTTCAGCTTTTCCGCTAAGGCATTCTCACTGGGAACTGATGATAAGTCTGGAAGCATCAGCGTAAAAAACTAGAAATATGCATTTTCACGTAAATTAAATATAGATGCAACTTAAATATATCTTTCGAAAGACTTATTTTACTAACTTGATTATTACAAGCCACAACAATATGTCTGCTAGTTTTGTTAAAAATCTGTTCATCTATATCCTCTCCCGGTCTTCTATATACAGAAAATAAACGTTGATAGGGGGCCATGGATAGATGATGCCCTTTTACTAATCCCGTTGATAAATCTCTCATTACTTCACCACTAAAATATTTAATAATTTATTTACTATTAATTTATTATTTGCTCTCGAGCATCTTGAAAATTTATTGACCTTTCAACGTTCTGTTTGAACATTAGGGAGAAGATTATGAACTTGGCGATATAGCTGCAAGTAAAAATAATATTGTTAAGAAAATATAATATAATTTAGTCAATGTTTAATATTACTTGAATCTGTCGTCTTCCTTTCTAAATTCTCGTCTCGGTAGCAAAAAGAAAGGACTAGAATACACCGGTAAGGGTAGTGGATTCTTTAAATATTTTTCCTCTAGCCAAATACTAGTTACCTACATAATTTAGTAGACCTGTTAATTATGTACTAACTTATATTATGTAAAACAAAGATTTTACATAATTATCATCATTTTCGGCATATTCTTTTAAATATAGTTGTAATCGTTCTCCTTCCCCTCCCGGTTTTTCGAATTCTTTAACAGATTTTTCGGCCTGTAGATATTGATCGTCGTTAACAACAGCCTTCATCCCTTGCAAGAATCTCTGCATGGTGATAGAAAGCTCTGGAACGGGTGGTTTTGGTAGATTCTGTAAAGAAATATCTTTTAATTAGTTGAAATTTGCCGAAACTTATGTATTATATAAATTACGTTTTCATTATATTCCATTTTTTCCCGTTAATTCTTGTATTTGAGTATTTCTTATAGTATTTTGAAACTATTGCGAATTTGTCATTGTTTAATAAAAAGTATTTGTTTAGTAAGAATGGAATAAATATTTTTTAATTATACATACAGCTTATAATTTTTCACATCCAACATTAGATACATAAGAGCAATAAATTTAATATTTTTTCATAACATTTAAAAGTTTAAATTTGTACGGATAAGTCAGTGGCGCGTTATTACCTTACGGGCGCCCAAGCAAATTTGAATTAGGTGGTTCCTTGTACAGTGTTGGATTCAGACATTCTTCTTCAGAGAAATTTTTTGGGGAAAATCTTTTCTTAAAAAAAGATTGGTTTGAGGCCCCTTGTTGGTAGGCAATTTCCTTTTTTGTCCATAAAATAACGCACCATTGGAGCTATGGCGATTTCAAGGAAAAGACCGGGATAAAGTTTTCACAGACAGCATTTTTAGTACTTTAATTGTGATATTTATAATAATGCAAACTAATAAATACTTTTTAATTACTTTAAGTAGTAGTAGTAAACCAGGAGCCGAGTGGCAATGGGTGGTAAACACATCATCTTATCACTCTGAGAATCCGGGATCGGAATCCCCAGGAATTCTTTATTGGCCTAACCCTCCAGCTACCTCAGTTGTGAGCTTTGACGACTCATAGTGAGTATGATTAATTAAGAAAGTCCTCTTAATTCCTATAAAATAAAAAAAAAAGTTATAAAAATATAGATATAAATCTACAAATAATTTCTCTAAATATTTAAAATAAAATATTCTGTAATGCTACATAAATTAAAATTTAGAATAATAATGTAGATGCATGTTATATGTATTTTATATATATTAATAAAATAACTATGTAGAATATTTAACCTTTACCACAATGCTATACATTATATCTT